CCTCCCATAGTTTCATGATAGTCATCTGCAGGCGACCACTGTTCCCTTTCCACTGGGATATTTTTTATTTCGCTTTTTTTCTTTTTCTTTTTTGTTTTAAACTACAGACTGTTGAACTAAAAGTATTGAATTGATTTTGTTTTGTTTTTTAGCAGAAGCTTTGATATCAGCTGCAGATCACTCAGTACATGGCTGAGGCAATCTCCATTGGCCCGAAGCCGCTCTAGATGAGCCTGCTGGCTAGTCTTAGATTCTCCCTCCCAATTAGTGATTGACGCTGCAGGCCACGGCCTAGGTTCTCCTAGGCCATTGGCCAAAACATGGCACTTTCCATTTCTTACCCTGCTACAGCATCTTCTATAGACAGCAAGATAATATTGTGGGTGCACCAGTAGCCTCAGGGCAGCCTGGCCTGGGGAAAACCAGACTCTGGGCTTGCTCTCAGGTGGCCTCAGTCAGCTTTGTGTACCCCGGACACCTTTGTAGTATGAAGACCTTGCACCGTGTGTGTCCACCCTTTATCGAGCCTCTCCAGAAGTACTCCCAACTTTAGCATCTGGAGCCCGCCCAGTGCTTGCTGCTTGGAAAGCACACTCCTGTGCATCCAGCGCAGTCATTCAGCATGGTCTGTTGCCCATGGTCACTCAGTGGGAGTGACGGAGGGCCATTATCCAAGCTCTGAAGATGTGCTTACGGAGTTAACCCCCCACCCCCACCCCCGCCCACCCCACTCTTCCATCCTTGCCCTATAATATTTTTTCTTTGTGGCATCAACGACCCAAGCCGGAGACTCAAGCTGCCCCCTGTGATAAGTGCCTTCTCGTCTTTCTGGTGTGATTCAGGACTTTAGGGGTCAGTAAAGACTGAGGAGCCTTTATTGTAATAAGAAACAGACATAATGCCCCTACTTCACATGCCCCTAACAACAGCTGAATTTTTGTTTTTTAATCATCTCCCCTTTCCCCTGAAATTAATCCAGTCTGGGCAATAGATGCGTCTGACCCTTTGGATGTAACTTTTTTTTAATTTTTCTACAATCACCCCAATTACCTTGGGGAGGCGTTGGAGGACCTGAAATTTTTACCTGAACCCAGGTTCTCCGGCGCTTGGCAACCAAATGGGGCTACAGAGAAGCATCTAAGCCAGTTCACAGAGCGAGCGTGTGTGGGGACTTCTCACTGCCACGGACCCTTGATGCATGCTCCCCGCGCTCCAGTGGTCCCGTGTCAGAAGGCGGAGTTTTCGAAAGGAGGCCGCCAAATATAAAAGACAAAGAGACGGGATCGGCTGCAGCGGTTTCCCAAAGGAGGAGGGAGTGTGCATCGGTCTGGTAACAAACAGAGAATGTTTTTTAATTATTTCTATCACAGAAATCTGTGTTTTATCTAGGATATCTTCGGAATATTCTTTGTAAAATGCAGATTTTTTTCCACAAAAAATTAGGATTCTGTTATTAAATTTGTTTGTTAAGTAGGTTAAAAAACTACATTTAGCTGAAAGCATTACACTAACATTTACATGATTTTAAGTTTTAGGGGGTTACCCAGCCCAATTCCTAGCCGTGTACAGAATATTCAATGTGTGTCTCAAGGTTTCATGGTTTTCCCCACATTGTTTGGCTATTGAATCTCCAGGTCACTTAGACAATCTGATCATTGATGATACAAGTACTAAGTTTGCAATAACCTTGAGTTGAGTGGAAAAAACCTCACTTGAGAAGCTGGGCTTGGTAGTACAGTGAAATTTTAGTGTAATGTGTTCTTGTGACTGCAAAGGGAAAGATAATGTGGGTGTTCAAACAAAGCAAAAGAGGTGTGTACTTTGGCTTTGGTTTGCTTTTTAACTACTACACAAGCGAAAAAACCCTAACTGTATATATAGTCTGAGAATGTAGTGAGTAGCTTGAGTGCCTTTCCAGGTTGCTCTGTGACTGGTCTGAAGGTAAGTTGGTTGTTGTTGGTAGTCTGTGCCAGGCTTCTCCCAACAGAGTAGAAGTGATTTGGCCCTGCACTTTCCTGGTGGTTACTGATTCCTTCTCCATCCCAGTTTTGAAAGGGGTGGGTGGCACTCGAGTGTGTCCGTCTGAACTCTGGTCTAGTGTAGCTCCTGTCAGCATACGGTCACAGAAGAGGCAGGAGTTTGGGGATTCAATGGGACTCCCTGGGATTATAGCAAATCCAGGCGCAGTGCCCGCTTGTGTCCTGAGAGTCCCTGATCCTCTTTTACTCTGTTGGGATGAGTCTTTTTTGTGCCTGCTCAGAGTGGTCACTAACTTGGTCCTCTCTCCTCTTGCTGTCATCTGCACTCGTGCTCCCCTCCTCTTGGCATTGTCCTTGACCTTCTCTTTCTCTGCCACATCACCTTACACGACGGCTCACCATTGACTTGGAAGATGTGGAAGATGTGAAGTTTGTGATCAACTACGACTATCCAAACAGCTCAGAGGATTACGTTCACCGTATTGGCCGAACGGCCCGGAGCACCAACAAGGGCACTGCCTATACCTTCTTTACCCCGGGGAACCTAAAGCAGGCTAGAGAGCTGATCAAAGTGTTGGAAGAGGCCAATCAGGCTATCAATCCAAAATTGATGCAGCTGGTGGACCACAGAGGCGGTGGCGGCGGAGGGGGTAAGGGTAAGTCCTGGAATTTTCCAGGTACTACCAAGGACTCCTAATACTAATTGTGCCTTGTTTTTTGCTGGTGTGTTTTCTTCTTCTCCTTCTCCTTCTCCTCCTTCTTCTTTTTGTTTTGTTTTGTTTTTCATTTTGATCTGTGAAGGCTCTTGCTTGGAAGTCAGAGAATACTTAGTGTTTTTTTGTGACCTCATTTGTAAGTCAGAAAGCAAAATTTGTCATTATGCTGCCATTACTATTGTAGCCTGGTATGTGAGAATCTAAGACCCATTATTTAAATTTTGGGTCACATGCATATTCAAAATGAAACTAGTAGTACATTCCAGTAAATTTTTGGGGAGTGGGGGGTAGCTCAAGAGGTTTCTGTGTAACAGCCCTGGCTGTCCTGTAACTTTCTCTGTAGATCAGGCTGGCCTCAAACTCAAAGAGCTACTTCTGCCTCTGCCCCTTTCCCCCAACTGCTAGGATCAAGTGTTTGTCACTATATACCCAGCTGCCTAGAATTCTTGACACCTGGAGGTAAGGCCAGCTGTGACTCTTTAGGGACAGATTGAGCTTCCTAGAACCTGTCTCTTAATAAATACATGTGAAGCTAAACTCTTGTTGGCTTCTTGATACCCTTAAACTGTTTCTTAATTTTATTAAGGTTTCAATTTTGCATGTGGAGAATTTGGTAATTTTTCATCATTTCATAACATAGTATTAGCTGAGGCATACAGCTGATGTAGAGTTGTGAGGTACACTCAGCTTTATTCTCCTGGCCAGATTGTTTTTGTGGTCTGGCAGTGGTGGCGCACATCTTTAATCCCACCACTCAAGTGGAAGAGGCAGGCAGATCTCAAGTTCAAGGTCAGCCTGGTCTACATTGTGAGTTTCAGGACAGCCAGGGCTAAACAGAAACCCTTTCTCATAAAGCCTGTTCCTGGTGGCACATGCCTTTAATCCCAGCACTTAGAAGGCAGAGGCAGGCGGATCTTTTGAGTTTGAGGACAGCCGGGGTTACACAGAGAAACCCTGTCTTTAAAAAACCAAAAAAAAAAAGATTGTTTTTTGTTAACTCAAGAAGAGTCTAAAAGGCACCACGTTGAGTGAAATATTAACTTAACTTAGAGACTAGCATTGCTGACAGTGAAGACGTGGTGAGTAGTTCTGTTCCCCTTTATGTGCAGTTTGTTCCGATCACATACTAGCATTAAAGATCCCTTTATCCTCCCACCAGGAGGTCGCTCTCGATACCGGACTACTTCTTCAGCCAACAATCCCAATCTGATGTATCAGGATGAGTGTGACCGGAGGCTTCGAGGGGTGAAGGACGGTGGCCGGAGAGATTCTACAAGCTACCGGGATCGCAGTGAAACCGATAGAGCCAGCTATGCCAACGGCAGCGGCTATGGCAGCCCCAATTCTGCCTTTGGGGCCCAAGCAGGCCAATACACGTATGCTCAAGGCACCTATGGGGCAGCTGCTTACGGCACCAGTGGCTACACGGCCCAGGAGTATGCTGCTGGCACCTACGGGGCCGGCGGCACCGCCTCGAGCGGGAGGAGCTCCCAGAGCTCCAGCCAGCAGTTCAGTGGTCTGGGCCGAGCTGGGCAGCAGCCACAGCCACTGATGTCCCAGCAGTTTGCACAGCCTCCAGGAGCTACCAATATGATAGGCTACATGGGGCAGACTGCTTACCAGTACCCTCCTCCCCCTCCCCCTCCTCCTCCCTCTCGTAAATGAAGCTGCTTGGTGGAGTGCCTCCTGCAGATTCATTCCATCTAAAGGAATACTGTCTATTCTTTTACCCTTGTAGCCCTTTGCGTTTTTATTTTTCCTTTTTCCAACCATTGTGGTTTATCTTTTTTTAATGCAGATTAGTTAAAATTCACTGCCAGGTTTCTTCTGCCCACCCAAAAGATCCAGTCTGTAATAACACATTTTGTAAGGGAAAAAAATACATATATATATATAACTATATATATATAAAACTGACTGGAAAAGATTAATTTCTTCCCCCGAATTAATGCATGTTGAGGATATTGAGCTATTTTTCATCTTAAAGGTATTAGGCATTTTTGTTGGAGCCTGTTGATAGGGAAGGAGGGGAAGGCGGGGAGGGAAGGATGAATGGTCCCGCAGAAGATGGTGGCATCTGCTTCAGACTGTTCTCCTTCCTGGGAGAAGCCAAGAGGGACTTCCATGCGCATTGTCCATGGTGGGTTTTAAGTACTGGAGTTAGATTACTCAGGCCTGCCTGATGGATTTTAAGACAACCAGTCATTTTGGCTGATGGCTTATGACATGCATTTGACAGTTAAAAAATTCCTAATTGGTTTTGACTCTCCTGCAGTTATTAAATATTAACCAGGTTAGTGTTGAGTTAGAAATTAAATTTCTTGAGTTCAAGCAATTTTTTTTTTTTTTTTTTTTTTAATTTAAAAAGTACAAGACATTGTTTTTGCTGGGTAGACTGGCATCTGGGTAGAGGCTGCCTGGCCTGCCGCCCGCCGCCCCCCCCCCCCCATATAACCAGGGAACATCTGCAAGTCAGTTTCTAGCCAGATAGCCATCATGAGCCGTAAGCATCAGTGCTTAGCAGAAGCTTCCTGAGCGGCTGAGTCTACGGTGTAGAGAGCGCCTTTAGAAATGATGGAATCCAAACAGGCAGATCTTCCTCTTAAACTCAGTATTTTTAAAGTAAGAATGACTCATGGGCTGCTCTGCACGTGGAGAGCTAGTCTCCACAGCCTGTTCTGTGGTACTTTGTAGCAGCTGGAGGCACTCATCCTCGGAGTCCCTTTGCACTCAGCTTTTCCAAGGTAGGTAGTGCTTTAGGAGGCACTCTGGAGGACTAGAGCCCACCCCACCTTACTCTCCAGTGTGAAGGTGGGTGCGTTTGTCTCCTCGTCCATTTGTTCAGTGTTTTCTTACTGAAACTCCCAAGAGCAACAGATGCATCTGAAAGAATATTCTGCTCTTGTGTCACCTAAGAGGATAGGACGACAGGAGATGGCCCCAGTGCCCGTGGTAGATCAGTGGTGGGTGGGCGGTTCATTCACAGAACAGTTAAAGGGAGGAGGCCCCACTGCATTCCTTGGCTGTGCCCTCAAGAGTACCCTGCTGCTTTCTAACAGTCTCAACAATACTCTTGAGGTGTCCTTCAGGAAGAGGAAAGGGGTGGTTTTGAGGGCTCTGAAAGTAGGATTCAGTGTGCGACATAACAGGTAGGTTGTCAGCATATGTTGGCTATACGCATATGAACGCTTGGCATCCTTTTGTTTTCCTTACTATTTACAGAATGTTAAGCTAAGGGAGAATGGTGGGCACAGATGTGTAGCAACCCTCCTCTGTGCTTTGGAACCAAAGTGTGTGTCTGTCTCTCACCCTGCTAAAAGGAAGCAGTGTCTAACCAAGGACACTGACCAGCCTGTTACAGATAACTCTTTCTACAACCAAATTCAGATGTATTTATTAAGCATTATACCATGGGCTATCCTGTGGTACTGTAGCTCTTCAAAACGCCTCTTCTGTTAACACCTCTGGGGATGAAGCAGTGGCACCTCTCCTCCCCATCAGAAGCATACTCCAGATGAAATTAACATCTGGTTTCCTAGTTCATGAGCTCTTTTGGCCTGGGTACAGCAGAAAACTAGCAGTTTTCCTATTTAGTGCAAATGACTTCTGCCTCCTTGTCTGTCCTTTTGAGTTCTCAGGACAGACTAGGCAAACCCTTGGAGCTGGGTTGATTGCCCTGGTGGTTAACTCACTTAGGGAAAGGGCTTCGGTATTAAGCTGTGGGCTGCTTCCCCTACCCCTCCCAAACAATTCATGTGCAGACTTCTCATCTAAAAGGTTGGTGGCTTTTGCTTGGGATCAGTGCTCTGCTAATGCCTTTGCTGATCTCTCCACACATTCCTGTCATTGAGACTTGAATTGTAGGTGTGATGTTAAGGCACAGGATGATGCTAAGAGCTGTTACTACTATTCTTAGTTTGTAAATTGTCCTTTTGATACCATCTTGTTTTCTTTTGTAGGTATAAATAAAAACAATTGACAATAAAGGTGTGAATTTTTATTACATTCAAACCTTTCCAAGAGTTGAGTGTAATCTTAACATTTTGCTCCAGACAACAAATATTGATAGTTGAATGACTAATTATCCTAGTTAGCACCTCAAACTGGGAGGGGAAAGTGGGGTTGATGATGGGTCTTGGCACAGGAATGAGTCACACAGTGAGATGACCATGGTGGACACCTAGGCTGGCAACTGAGTCTAAGATGTAGTGTGGGAGTGGGTTGTGTGATATCATACACACATCCAGGGTCTTCAGTTCCACACTGACCTAGGAAGGATCTTTGTGAATGTGTCTACGAGTTCCGTGGCATGAGCCCTCCACTGTAGTCAAAGGAGCAACTGTTGGTCATTCATGGAGGAAGTATCTTGTGGCTCCTTATTTTCACTTGCCCATTGTAAGGCCTCACACTCGGGCAGTTGGACCAGGCATTGATGGTATGTAAGTAGTCCTGCTGCTGATGGTAAGAGGAAGGTCTGCCAGGGCTTTGCTCCAATTCACACCAGCCATGTAAGTCACCAAGGAGATCAATCCAAGTGATTTGCTCTGGGTGCCTTACAGTGTGGCCCATCTCTTCAAACTGGCATTGGTAGGCTTAGCTTCTTTCCTTTGAGGACTAGAAGAAAAGGAAGGTGAAGTTACAGAATATACTATACTTAAAAGAATTGTTTTCACACACCCCCTTCCTTTTTGAGAGTTTGACTGACCTGACTCCCTAGTCCTAAGATTAAAGGCACAATCCACCACAACTGTGTTCCTTCAAAGTTGTCATCTGACAGGAGGGGTTGCCAGAAGTTCTCTTTCAGGTTAACCATGGGCTCCATGTCCCTCTGCCTGTTTTGGTTACTGGTGCTCCTTCCTTCCCTACATAGTTGTAGACTCAGCAGTTGGCCTCAGTTCACCTCTGTTCCATTGCCATAGACTATCTTGATCTCTTCACCCTGCACTTAGCTGCCCTGACTACTCGGCCTGCATGGCAACTAATGGGTTGGCTGAAATGAGTTCTAGATGATGCTCTTGGTGATGGAGTCACAAACCCGAGGCCTCGTGCGAACTTAGTTGGTTTGCATTTCAAGGTTTATGACTTTCTAAAGCCCGTTTTGGATCTTAGGAGATTCTCCCAACCAGGTCTGTCAAAAGTCCTCTTCCAGTTCTCTTACCTGTACACAAGTATCATTCCCACTGGTTTGTGCCTCCCCCATCCAAATAAGCTCCAGAAGGGATGAGCCTTGACCCTGCCTCAGACCAGCTGGAGTACCAGAGTGTGTAATGACTTAGGACAGTGCCTACCTTTGGTCACATACAAGTAGAAGAAGTCACAGTAAAAGATCGTTTGTACTACTCCAGACACCACTGAGATCTGATCATAGAAATTCTCTGTCTGGTACCGCCAGATCCAGTTGGCTAGATAGAGTGCCCGATACAGCCCCAGGAAGAACAGGTAGTGAGTGGTGATGGTCTCAGCCTCTCCAGTCTTGCTGATCATGAAGAGCTGTGGCAGGATGGCCACCGACTCCAAATAGATGGAGAAAGTCCAGAGGACCTGTCAGAAGAGCAGAGAAGGCTGGAGGGTCCACTGCTTGGGACGACCCATGTGTAGTGAACGTTGAGAACGGTTGTCGGGGTCCTAGTGTAACAGTAACCCAGGTAGGCTTTGAGCTAACGGTCCCAAGGAAGGGCTGGGGTGACACACCAGGCTTAAGAACTTGTTATTTGTGGCTTTCTGGTGTTGGGGACAGAAGCCAAGGTCAGACGCGTGCTGGACAAGCACTCTTCCCCATGGTGTCCCCAGCCCTGAACTGCAGTAGCTGTTCCTTGCCATCGCTGTCTATGGAAACAAACTCGGGGATGGAATGCCTGCTTGTTTTTTAAGTGCAAACATGTCCACACCACAGTTTATAAAGGACATAATTTAAGCCACAGCTTGTCAAGGGTCCATCAATACCAGCAGAGGACCTCCAGACATTCTCTTGAAGCCCTAGTCTGCTGAGTTAATAGTGGCCTGGACTGCTCTTGGGGACACAAGGTCCTAACAGAAGCAGGGTCACCACCTGCTTAACTGGAACCTCATGACTGAACCGATGTGCCCCTTAACGCTGTGAATGGTAAGAAATGGGCTTGCAGTAGGCAGGCTGAAGAGGGTGCTGGGAGGCACCCCTGCCTTGGGATCAGACTCACCTCCGTTGGTGCGTAACTGTAGTTGACCAGAAAGGAAAGGCCAATCACGGGGACCAGGAGGAACTCCAGTCGGAATGTGTCGTTCTCACTGTCAAATGTTTTCCGGAACTTCCAGTAGATCATGTACACCGTGATGTAGGCGCAGAGAAGGAAGACCACCTAGGGAGGGGCGGGCGGCAGGAAGTCTCTAGTTTTGGAGCCTGTGCTGGAATTCACTGTAGCCCAGGCTGGCCTCAAACTCACAGAGATCCGCCTGCCTCTGCCTCCTGAATGCTGGGATTAAAGTGCACCACCACCACCCAGCTTGAAATCATTTCTTTCTTTCTTTCTTTCTTTCTTTCTTTCCTTCCTTCCTTCCTTCCTTCCTTCCTTCCTTCCTTCCTTCCTTCCTTCCTTCCTTCTTCCTTCTTCCTTTCTCTCTCTCTCTTTTTTTTTTTTTTGGTTTTTCAAGACAGGGTTTCTCTGTGTAGCTTTGCGCCTTTCCTGGATCTCGCTCTGTAGACCAGGCTGGCCTCGAACTCACAGAGATCCACCTGGCTCTGCCTCCTGAGTGCTGGGATTAAAGGCGTGTGCCACCACCGCCCGGCTTGAAATAATTTCTTAATGCTCATGTTAAGCTGTGATATCTGTAACCCCAAGGACCAACATGTTATTGTCCCCCAACATGCAGTGTGTGTGTGTGTGTGTGTGTGTGTGTGTGTGTGTGTGTGTGAGTGTGTGTGTGTGTGAGAGAGAGAGAGTGTGTGTGAGTGATAAGTTCCTGGGGCCCCTAGTCTTGTGGGCTGGTGGTCACTGGCTTCTCTAGTATTATTCTCAGGATCTTCTCTTTTGCAGGTCTGGACAGCCTTGGAATTTGCATTTTTTTTTCCGGTTTTTTGAGACAGGGTTTCTCTGTGCAGCTTTGTGCCTTTCCTGGGACTCACTTGGTAGCCCAGGCTGGCCTCGAACTCACAGAGATCCTGGCTCTGCCTCCCGAGTGCTGGGATTAAAGGCGTGCGCCACCACCGCCAGGCTTGGAATTTGCATTTCTAACAACTTCCCAGGTGGCGCTAATGCTGCTTAGCTGGCACTAGACTACACTGGCATAGAGAACTCAATTACTCAAACGTCACTAGAATGACATGCTGTCACCACAACCTGTAGCGTGGGGGTCACATGCCCTGCGAAGACGTATGAGTCTGTCTCCCCTACAATAGGACACACTGGCAGGACTCTCCTCTGAATCCCCCAGCTCCTTACTCAGCACAGATTAGCGAGGAAGGGAATACAGGAAGTGACGACCACTTTTCCATTCCATTCCAGACTAGACACCTCATCCTGCCACACAAGGCTGGGTGTGCAGAGGAAAGAACTGAGCAGGTGAGGAGTCTAAGTAGGGGGTGATGTTTAGACCCCAAATTCACACCGTTAAAATGCTTCACAGGTGACATCTCCCCCACCCACCTCCCCTGCTAGGGATGAGCTACCTGGACTACCAAAGAATCTCTGAGACAGAATTCCCTTTAGTGTACCATATCCTCTCTTGGAATCTTCACAGTTACCCTGTAAGATACAGATAAGACACTCCCACTCCACACATGAGCAGGTAAAACTGGGACTTCAGATATAATGCACTCAACCAAAACTACATTTCCAGAGTAGGCGGGAATCACGGGGGAGAATTTTCAGAAAGGCTTTGGGTCTTTTGTTTATTTGTTGTGGGGTTTTGCTTGCTTGTTTGTTTGTTTGTTTGTTTGTTTCAAGACAGGGTTTCTCTGTGTAGCCCTGGCTGTCCTGGAACTTGCTCTGTAGACCAAGCTGGCCTTGAACTCACAGAAATCCGCCTGCTTCTGCCCCCCCAGTGCTGGGGTTAAAGGAGTGTGCTACCACCATGCCTAGCTATTTGTTTGGGTTTTTTTTTTAAAGAGGGTGTGTGTGTGTGTGTGTGTGTGTACGCGCGCGCGCGCGCGCGCGCGCGCGTCACTTGAGATTTTGGATAAACTTTCTAAAAAGAGCTTTCTCCAGATGGGTGATGGTGGTGCACACCTTTCATCCCAGCACTGGAGAGGAGATCTCTGTGAGTTCAAGGCCAGCCTGATCTACATAGTGAGTTCCAGGACAGCCAAGGCTATATAGAGAGAACCTGTCTCAAAAACAAACAAACAAACAAAACCAAAAACACCAACAACAACAAAAAGCTTTCTCCACAATCCCAGCATATGGGAAGCTGAGGCAGGATGATTTCAAGTTCAAGGCCAGCCTTTACTATGTGTTAAGATCCTATTTCCAAACCAAGAGAAGGTTGAACTGGGCGGTGGTGGCGCATGCCTTTAATCCCAGCACTTGGGAGGCAGAGGCAGGGGAATCTCTGTGAGTTCGAGGCCAGCCTGGGCTACAGAGTGAGTTCCAGGACAGGCTCCAAAGCTACACAGAGAAACCCTGTCTCAAAAAAACGAAACAAAAAACAAGCAAACAGGGTTGGGGATTTAGCTCAGTGGTAGAGCGCTTGCCTAGCAAGCACAAGGCCTTGGGTTCAATCCTCAGCTCAAAAAAAGAAAAAGAAAAAAAAAAAACAAGCAAACAAAAACCAGGAGGCTGGAGAGAGGTGGTGAGTGCTTCCTGCTCTTGCAGAGAAGCCAAGTTTGGTTCCCAGCACCCATATGGCAGCTAGCTCACAATGGGTGTTAACTCCAGTTTCAGGGAATCCAACACCTTCTTCTGGCCTCTGTGGGTACTGCATACATGTGGCGCACATACACACAGGCAAACATTCATACATAGAAAGTACAACTAAACCATTAAAAACTAAAACAAGCCAGGTACAGTGGCATACAGTGATTGTAGCATGCAGGAGGCAGAGTCAGGTGGATTTCTGTGAGTTCCTGGACCCCCAAGGCTACATAGTATAACCCCATCTTCTTAAAAAAAAAAAAAAAAAAAAAAAAAAAAAAACTTATCTAGCTGGTAGGTACCTTACTGGGCCACCAATACCCTCTGCCTTAGGAGCCACACACACACTTGGTAACCCTGTGGTAACGGAGAATAGATATGCTCATGACTAGTCACACAACTTACTTTTTGGCCCACTGCCAAATGAAAATGTGAGGCCCTTTGTTTATAACTAGGAATTTCAAGATGGCAACAGCAGAGGCGTCAAGCAAGTGCCGGGCTCTGCTGGACAACTGTATAGTTTAACTGCCCACGAGTCCTGGCCACCCCAAGGCTGTCGAGCCAAGAGTTACAAGGAGCCTAGGAGTCCAGGGGACTGCCAGGCCTGCCCTGGACTGCTCACATCCAGATGTTAGGTAACAGGAATGTGCCTTTGCTCAAGTCACTCATGCTGTTAGCATCTGAGCAGCTGCACTCCACTCTGCTGAACTAGCAATCTGTTCTTATCTCTGATGTACCTGCCTCAAAGCCAGGAAGGTTGATGAGAATCTTCACCCCCAAAGCACCCAACCATGGCACAGAGATGAGGCATGGTGGTGGGACTGAGAAAACCAGTCTACACTTCCAGACCATAGCACCACCAAAGCCTTTGGTCCCTGTGGCTAACCGAAGTCACCTGGCACTGTGCCTAGTGCCCCCTGGCCTCTCTCCCTACAGCCATCCCCCAGGGTTCCCACTGCCTCAGCCTCACACCGCTTCTCTCAAGAGGCCAGCCTGTTCCTGTGCTTCGAGGGCCCTTTGCCCTGGCTACGCGTTTGGTTTGGTACTCGTCCACTGATCTCAGGTCTGTCGCTTGTCACAAACACCTCGGTTAACTCCTCAGCACCTGCCCACACTCCCTGAAGTAGCTATGCCGTGGTCCTCTATCAGATGACCCTTCAAAACTTTTTAAAAAGTCAGATGTTAATACTTTGCTTAGCCCCCTCCACAACCAATGTTCTCATTTGTTTCCGGTGTTCCCCGCAGGATCCATGAGTCTTGCATGTCTCCAAGTGCCTGGCACAGCAGAGGCAGAACATGCTTGCTGCAAGCCAAGTTCACCAACTGTCCAGGGTCCAATAAACAAATGTCTGAATTGTTTGTTAAACCATTCTGTGTTACGGCTAGTTTTTAGGAAATGTTCAGTCCATGGTAGAGTGATAGTATTTACATTTGTGTGTGTGTGTGTGTGTGTGTATAGTGTCGGGTGTTCTTTTGAGACACTGTCTCATTGTGTAGCCCTGGAACCAAGTATGTCAACCAGGCTGGCCTTGAACTTGCCGCAATCCTCCCGCCTCCCTGTTCCCCCAGGGCTGAGACTTCAGGAGTGCATCATGATACCTGCCTCACATTTAAATATGTGACCTTGATGAATTTCACAGCCCCCCTCTGAGCTAAATATAGGTACCACCTTGGCCCTGAGGGAACCGTACAGAGGCCCGTACCTGAAAGGCCCTGACAGCAAGGCAGGTGCGAGAGCTCCACCCCTGGCCTGAAACTTCCCCACACAGCACAGCCCCCCAACCCCCACCCCACCCCACCCCATCCCCCCACCCCACGCTCTCACCTTCATCACTGTGTTGTAGATGGAGATGAAATTGTAGACGAGGTCCAGGTACCTGGTGGTGAAGACCAGAGCAAAAAGAATCTGGCTCTTCCCAGAGATGCCTGTGCGGGGTGAACAAGGGACCATGAGAACACAGTCTTCAGGTGGCCACACAGGCGACAGGTACGCCTGTCCCCGCCCCGCTCCAAGTCACTGGAGTTCCTCTGCCTCTCGTGGAGCTGTGATCTGTCACCAAATAAAGATCTGAACACTACGTTCCCAGTCACCCTGCGTGCGCCACCTTGGTGCTTCTCTGTGGAGGATGCGGGGGTAGTGTGAGTCGCCCCGGGTGGGGGTGTTGAGGCTGTTCTGTGAGCCACCCCCGGAGCTCCAGTGGCAACCCCAGAGCTCCATCCTGGGAGAACAAGGCACTGACTCCAGGTGCTGATTCACCGGGGAGACAGGCAGGCAGATGAAGACGCGGGCCAGCAGCACTCTGTTTCCCAAAAGGCACAAATTTAAAAAGCCCTTTCCTGACTTACAAAGGTTATGCCTATTTTTACTCATTATAATACAAAAATCAGGGGTGCAACTCAGTGACTTGCCAAGCATGTGCAAGGCCCGGGTTCCGTCCCAACAGTGCAATTAGTAAATAATAAACACCAAATAGAGCATGCACAAGCAACCAAGCCTGAGTGCACAGACCTCGGGCCACTGCTCACTGTATGCGCCTGAGTGCGTGACCCACTGGTGCCTTATTCTCCACGCTGTCTCTTTTTTCTTTCTCTCTTTTGAGACAGGGTCTTGCTGTGTAGTCCTGACTGGCATGGAGCTTGCTATATAGAATAGGTTGGCTAGCCGGGCATGGTGGTGCTAGCCTTTAATCCCAACACTCGGGAGGCAGTGGCAGGCCTTTTGAGTTCAAGGCCAGCCAGGGCTATACAGTGAAACCATGTCTCAAAATTAATTAATTAATTAATAAGTAATAATAATAATAAATAATAAAAAGGGCTGGCCTCAAGCTTCTAGCAACTCTCCCTTCCTCTACCTTTTCAGTGCTGGGGTGTAGGTGTGTACCACCACCTGCCCAGCTCCAAGGTCTGCCTGTCTGTCTGTCTTTCTTTTTAAAAAGGACTTATTTACTTTGAGCCGGAGAGATGGCTCAGTAGTTAAGAGCACTTACTGCTCTTGTAGAAGACCAGGGTTTGGTTCCTAGCCCTCACAAAGTGGCTTACACCTGCCTGTAACTCCAGTCTCCAGAGATCTGATGTCCTCTTCTGACCCCCACCATCAAGGCAAGCAAACAGACTCAGGTACACACACATACACATAAAAGGAATAAATAAGTGTAATAAAATACTATTTCTTTTAGCTAGGTGTGGTGGTGTACACCTTTAACCCCAGCACTCAGGAGGCCAAGTTGGGTGGATCTCTATGAGTTCCAGTCCAGCTATAACATGTTTCAAAATATAAACAAAAAGATTGTGTGTGTGTGTACTGCCGGCGGTGGCATATATATATATATATATATATTCCTTGTGTAGCCCAGATTGATCTTGAACCCTTTAAGTCCTCTGTCTCTGCATTCCGAGTGAGAGAGTTATATACCGAACCGCTGCACAAAGGTCCAGCCCTTGTTCTTGTCTTCTTTTGAGAACCTTTATGGCCACTAGGTGTGACGTCAACCTTAGTAGACGCTGAATGAAAGCTCAAGGGAACTCTCTGGACTCTGAAACTCTTTCATCTGAAAGTCCCTGGTAGGCCGGGTGGTGGTGGCGTACACCTTTAATCCCAGCCCTCAGGAGGCAGAGGCAGGTGGATCTCTGTGAGTTTGAGACCAGCCTGGTCTACAGAGCGAGTTCCAGGACAGCCAGAGCTGTTAATGCAGAAAAACCCTGTTTTGAAAACCCACCACCACCACAAACAAACAAACAAATAAGGATTGGGTGTGGCCTAACGGTAGGGCACTTGCTTGGCATATACAAGGTTCAGGGTTTCATCTCCGGCACCAGAATAAGTGATCAAAACAAACGGGGAAAGCTCTCTCCTCCTGACTCCACTCCCACCTCCCCCCCCCCCCCCCCCGTGCCCCCCACCTTCCCTGCTCGGACCCTGAAACAACAGGTAACCCTCTGCACTCCTCTGGCCACTGCTGGTGGTCACGGCGGTGGTGCCAAGGGCCAGGTGCCTCGGTTCCCTTCTTCCTTGCCCTGTCCTCGTCAGTCTTACCATTCCCCTTCACAGTGCCCATGTCTCTGCAGCCACGGTCAACTGACCTCACCCCTGGTCTCAAGAGCAGCTAAAATCACTGGCCCGCCATCCCTCTCCTGGCCCGCTCTACCTGTCTCTACCAAAACAGCAGCCCCCACCCATCCTGCCCATGACGTCCTCTGAAGCACAGGCACAGGTCCAGGGGACTTCTGTCTTGGGCCTCCAGCCTCCAGGTGCCCTGAGCCAGACCCTGAAGGACTGTGAGTGAGTCTCTCAGGAGACTCCAGGCCCCGGTAACTTCCAGTTTGGTGCAGAGCCACTGGATCCAACCTTACTCAGCCCAGTCCTTCTCCTATCCAGTCTCCCAGGTGACAGACATCTCAACCTCCATCTCCTGATTCAGGAGAGACCTGCTGTGCCTCGTCCTCTGCCTCTACACCTTCCATCTCCATCTTCTGAATCGTCCATGGCTTCCTTAGTCCTGGATCCTGAGCACCTCTGGACCACCCTACCTTCCGGATTCCTCTCCCTCCTGTGTGTCCTTCCCAGGATATGCCCTATGCCCTGTGGCTTTTATGTGTCTGCACTGGTGTCCTCAACTCTGTATCCTGTTTCTGGGGCACACACACTGCCCATCCTCTTCCTCCACGTAGCGCTCAGCTGTTCTCTGCTTCCTCAGCCCTGGGGGAGTCTGAGCTTACCCCATAGCCCCCATGGGAATGCCTAACACGGGGACAAAGATGGCTGAAAGACAGTTGGGCAGCTTTTCATCGCACCGCGGGGGACTGCAATCATCAATCCAACCTGGAAACTTCTCCCACCCCAGCGAGGCAGCAAGGCAGCCAGACCAATACCTCCAATATCTCCCATCTTCCCTCGGGGCCAGCTCCAGCCCCCTGGGCCAGACTGGGGTCACTAGCACGCAGGAAAAGGAAGACTCTCCCTGGGGAGTGGAAGGCGGGAGAGTGGATGGAAAGACCCTAAGACGAGGGGTCTTCTAAATACGCACTCTTCCCTCCTAGGGAGGGGGAGGGTGTCCCCCCCCCCCCAGTCCTCGCCCAGGAGCAGTGGCACCGCCCGCTTGGAGTGGAGGACAGGGCGAGGGAGGTGCGGGAGCAGTATCCGTGGAGGCGGAAGCCACGCTCGGGCAGAAGCTCCCGGATCCTCGGGTGTCGAACAACTTCACTGAAGTCTTCGGAAGCGCGCGCGCCGCGCGGCTCCCTCGGAGCCCGAGCCCCCACCCTGGTCCCCGTCCCGCCCAGCCCCGGGCGCCGCTCACCGGCGCAGCTCTTGGACCTCCAGATCTTCCCCAGGAGCAAGACCATGGCCAGGAGGTGGCTCAGGTCGCCGAGGATTCGGAACACATTCATGGTCCCGCCCGCCGCTTCCCGCGCCGCGTCGCGCGGAACTCCCAGGGAACTTTCTGGAGCGC